TGAAGAAGGCTCGCATGGTCTCGTATCTAAGGAAATGCGCTGAGGATCAGTGTTGGAGGATTTGTATTTTGCATACCGAGATGTCAGCATGCGCATTGCAGCTTCAGAGTTGGCAGCGAACAAAGGCTCTTTCGAGAGTCTTCCTAGGACCTTTGCGCGGTCTGGTTCGCGCCCTACTCGTGTAAGGGAATAATCTTGTGAGATAAAGTGATTGTCCACGCCTGCTAGCTAGAAGGGATGAGTTTATGATGCTGAAAGAGACCGACGGTAGCGATTACCTTGAGAAGGATGGCAGCGATGACTCCTGTCCGATCTTTCCCAGCTAACAAAAATTAAGAAACTACCGAGATGAGAGGAAGTATGAACGAACCTGTGCAGTGAAAGATGAAAGGAGAGTTTGGTTTGTCCCTGACATGGCGCAGAATGGTACCAAATGCGGGCCCGCCATGTTCTAGTATTTGGGAGTAAAGGATCATAAAAGACTGCAGGAGCTCGATTACATAACAAAATATTTGATCAGGTCGCATACCTCTGTTGTTCCGGTTGCGTAGAGTTCAAACTTTCTTGAGGAAGGTCAGTGATAAATGGGGCGGTACGGTGGCAGCACGTACGCACTTGGCGAGCTTTTCTGGACTGTAATCCTCGTTCTTGAACACAGGCGTGGGGACTACATCTACACCCTCAATGGTAGGTATCGGAGAGCTGTACTTCCTCATCTCCGGATCTGATCGTAGATCAAAAACGGTCAAAATTCCGAGCGAGACCATTTTCCGTGCACCTTGCATTGGAGTGAGTTTTCGTATATTAAGCAGACTTGAAGAATGAACCTTCTTCGGTGATGCTGGAGAGCTCTGCTGAACGATAGGCATAACCAAGCTTTGTAACTACGTCTGGAGTCGCAGTAGGATATGAACCTAGATCGCGAACGTTGCACACGCCTGGGATCTGAACAAAAGGAGGTCTGGAAAGCACATCTGCCACATATGCAGGATCGAGAGGCTCTAGTTCGGAATCCGTGGCGGTCATCTGTGACAGTAATGAAGCGTTCGTTTGAAGCCTTGAGTGAGGACAAACAGAGTATGACCCGCAGTGATATTCGCAAATAAAGGCTAATCTTGCATCATACCAGTTCATACAAAGCTGATACCCTAATTTACCTGCATTACAACAGCACTGCTGGTACTAAGCTAAAAACATAGACTGAGATAGAGTACTGAATTTTGCATGCTTCCAAGCAGCTGCTGCATACAAGACTAATTAGGTGAGTCATGGTCACGCGAGTATTAAGCTTGACTGCATCACGTGTCAGTGTCACAGATGTGACACCTCGCGCTTGAGGGCAGGCAAACTCGTGTTTTAACGCGTCGCGATCAAAGTAATTGTATTCATCAACTTTCGATCGATTTGCCATTTTCTTCCTTCAATTCAGTAACATGGATATCGACGAACCACCATCTCCACCAGCACCTAGGTCGTCGTTGCCACCAAGCAGCGCTCCCATGGCCGCCATGTCCTCTTCTAATGGAACACCCAGATCTGCAGGCAGGAGACCGGCGTCTGATGCACTTGCATTTAACGACGATGAAGCTGAGGAGGCAGAAGAAGACGGTGCTACAGCGAGACGGAGAAGGCGACCCAGAAATCAACAAAACGGTGATGTCCCACTTGTTAGAGATGCTGTTGGCGAGAGCGTGTCAGAGAGCTTTGAGTCTTTCTTGAAGACGTAGGTCACATCAAATATATCTTTTGTGTCTTCTGATTTGTTTTTTGCAGGTTTACTGAAGAAGTTGCATTGGCCTCAACGCCCGCATCCGATGGCGACCTTCCTGAGGTCATCGAGGGCGAATTGATCTACATCCAGCAAATCCACACTATGCGTGAATACGAGATAACCACCCTTTATGTCGACTTTACACATCTCCTCCAAAAAGACGACGTCCTTGCAGACGCTATTCAGAAGCAGTACTATCGTTTCCTTTCCTACCTCCGTCGCGCCCTGCACAATCTTGTCGCAGAATATGAGCCCGAGTACCTCAAGATAAATCCTACAGCCGCTACAACCGACTCTGCAAACCTCCAGTCACGAGAATTCAATATCGCATTCTACCATCTACCTCTAGTATCCGGCATCCGCGATCTAAGAACCGATAAGATAGGCACCCTCATGAGTATCAGCGGCACTGTCACTCGCACTAGCGAAGTGAGGCCTGAACTCCTGTACGGTAGCTTCATCTGTGAAGTCTGCGGTGGTCTCGTCAACGAAATAGAGCAGCAATTCAAATACACCGAGGTAAAGTTACGTCCCTCAAAAATACATTGATGTGGGCGCTTATATACGTCCAGCCAAGTCTCTGTCCTAACCCTACATGTGGAAACCGCGTCGCATGGCAGCTTCAAATCGATACTTCCAAATTCACGGATTGGCAGAAGGTCCGCATACAGGAGAATCCATCCGAGATACCCACCGGTTCCATGCCTCGATCTCTGGACGTCATCCTTCGTTCTGAACTTGTCGAACGTGCCAAGGCAGGAGATAAATGTGTTTTCACTGGGACCTTTATTGTTGTCCCAGATGTCAGCCAGCTCGGGCTGCCAGGTGGAAACAAAGCGGAGCTAATGCGTGAAGCGAGTAAGGGTGGGGCAAACGCGTCAACAGGTGGTGTAGGTGGAAGTGGTGTGACGGGGCTCAAGAGTCTTGGTGTGCGGGACATGCAGTACAAGACTGCATTCCTAGCCTGCATGGTACATGACGCTGATGGCAGGGTATGTATGTGTGCTTGTGATCACGTTAAAGAATCTTAATTTTTCCTCTAGGGTGGCACTAATGTTCGCGGAGAGGAGGAGGAGGGTGAAGAAGATGGACAGGCATTCCTCCGCTCACTGACAGAGCCTGAGTTTGATGAGCTCAAGAGCATGATCGACTCGGATCACATATACTCTCGGCTGGTGGAGAGCATTGCACCCACCGTGTACGGTCACGAAATTGTCAAAAAAGGACTCCTTCTGCAGCTAATGGGCGGTGTCCACAAACAAACAGCTGAGGGCATGCACCTCCGTGGGGACATTAACATCTGCATTGTCGGCGATCCTTCCACCTCAAAATCACAATTCTTGAAGTGCGTTTTAGCTGCTGATAAGAAGCATACTAAACCAACTGCTAATGCACCAACAGATACATTTGCTCTTTTCTCCCGCGAGCAGTCTATACATCCGGCAAAGCCTCGTCGGCAGCAGGTCTGACAGCTGCCGTCGTCAAAGACGAAGAGACCGGTGACTTCACGATCGAAGCTGGTGCACTCATGCTTGCAGACAATGGCATTTGCGCTATCGATGAATTCGACAAGATGGACATTTCCGACCAAGTTGCTATTCACGAGGCGATGGAACAACAGACAATCTCTATTGCGAAGGCAGGCATCCATGCGACCCTCAATGCTCGCACGAGCATCCTCGCTGCAGCTAATCCCATCGGTGGACGCTACGATCGCAAGCGGACGTTAAGAGCCAACGTCGCTATGAGCGCTCCGATTATGAGCAGGTTCGATCTGTTCTTTGTTGTACTAGACGAGTGCGATGAGAAGACGGATTTGAACATCGCTAAGCACATTGTAAACGTGCATCGGTTCCAGGATGAAGCTATTAATCCGGAGTTCAGTACGGAAGCTCTGCAGCGGTACATCCGGTATGCCAGGACGTTTAACCCCAAAGTAGGATACAACTTGATGTCTGTCGGATATTACTGATTTTTGTGCAGCTGACTCCAGAGGCCGCCGATATTCTTGTAGAGAAGTACCGTATCCTCCGACAGGATGACGCAACAGGAGCAGGGCGTCATTCCTACAGGATCACTGTTCGTCAACTCGAATCAATGATCCGCTTGAGCGAAGCCATCGCGCGTGCCAACTGCACAGCAGAAATCACGCCAGTTTTCGTGCGAGAAGCATACACTCTTCTGCGCCAAAGTATCATCCACGTCGAACAAGACGATATCGACTTCGATGAGGAAGAAATAGAGGGCGAGCGCGAGGCGCGGAACATTCCTGCCAATGAGACCTCAGATGCAATTGAAGAAAGCCAAGATATCGAGATGAGTGCAGCAGAGATAGAAGCGATGGACCAGATGGAGGAGGAAAGCTCTCTGGGCATGGCCCTGAACCGCACTGCTACGAGCAGTGGTGGTGCTGGACCATCGTCAACGTCGCGCGCGGCCAGCATGGTGCCTGATGTTGCACCACCGCCTGCCCCCGCCCCAAAGAGAAGGATGATCATAACGCACGACAAATACATGACACTACAGAGCCTTGTAGTTTTGCATCTGTCTGCAGTTGAGCGTGAGACTGGGCGGGGAGTTGACCGTGATGAGCTGATTGATTGGTATTTGGAGCTGAAGGAATCGGAGATTCAGGATGTGGATGAACTGGAGTATGAGAAGGAGCTCATTTCAAAACTACTGAGGAAGTTAGTGAAGGTGAGATATTTCTGGTGGTCTTGCCCTGTCGTTCTATGCTCATAACTTGTAGGACAACTACCTCATCGAGGTGCGTGGCGACGTTCAAGACTCGCTGCCAGAGTCTATGACGGATGAGTCTGCGCCGGCTCAGTCATCCAGCACTCAATATGGAGAAAATGTAAGAGTGTATTATATGGTGCATCCGTCGGTGGACACGGAGGGCACTTCGTCTGTGGCATGATATTGTCGCCAATTTTTCCCAGTATCTGTTGGGCTCTCTTGTACAGTCTCGCCCACTTGTTGTCTTGTTTGTTGTATTTATTCCATTCCACTCACTCGGATCCGACATTTTATGATACGATGGAAAGATATTGGTTGGGGTAGTGGTGAACTTGGACAAGTGTCTGTTGCCCGACAGTGAGGATCGATCGAAGACGGACTGCTCGCCATGAGCGCTTGAGCACTTTACCCCTTGTGCATTATAATAGCGAGTCGAGTCGCGGTGTTTGCCTCACTCTCCGGAACCTAGAATAAATATCTTATTCCCATGACCTGTTTTCCCAGTCCGGAATTCATCTGCAGAATAGGCAGGACCTGGCAGGCCTAGACTCTAGTAACTGAGACGAGCTCAAGTAACATAACTTCTGACTTCCACTGGCCATCATCGGGTGATCGAACTGGATGAAGTTAGCATTGTCACGATTGTAAAATACGTAAACTGCTATGGCAGACGACTCGCTCATTGTACCTGTCCTGCTGGCTAACGGATCTCTTCACCACCCTAGCGTGTCATCTGATGCACTCGCGCAGGACCTTATCGGAGTACTGACTGCTCAAGAGGAAGTGATATCTAGTGTCCTCGGGGAGCTACATGATACTGGTTGGGCCCTGCAGCACGTTTGTAGTCAACCGAATGGTCGTAAGTGGGAAGAGGCGGAACTCGAGGCTCTCGGGGATGGTACGCAATCTCGCGCACATGTATTGCTTGTATTTCTTGGTCTTGAAACTTACCGCTTCGTCTTCCGAATGACTTAGGCATAATCGACCCATCGACTCCCATCGCTCCTCTACTGAAACAATCAAACTATCCAGTGATAAATTCATCTCAGAGGCACTTCTCCACGTTTCCTCTGACGTCCCATTTGCATTCCCCAACACTACGCTTGGTTTCGCTACACGCGGCTCTCTCCTTGTCTCTCTCGTTTGCGCGTGTGCCCGAGATTCATGACGGGTTTACTTGGACGGTATATTATGCTCGGAGCTCGATCGTAGAGGATGTCATTCGTTTTGTGGTCGAGGACTTGGGTCTTACTAAGAGTTTGCCCATGGCTGGGGGAGGTAACCTTGAATATATCATTCAGGATGGCGGTGAGGCTGATGTGTTGTTTTATAATGTAATGCTCATCCATCATACCGTATACTTCCTTATTAGCTTCGAGGATCTCATCCTCGTCAGTATTGTCCGACCTCGTCCAGTCATATTTGGCAAATTCCTGCCAAAAACCTACATTGCAGTTCTGCGTACCAGAGGAATGGTACCTTCGCCCGCGAGCTCTTTTACCATTTTCTGTACAGCCTTCCGAGGACACCCTGAAGCGCTTTGAGGACATACAAGCAGAATCGGACGATGCGGAGGGTACTACAAAGCAGAAGAAGTCTACCCTCGATGCACTGACGGCGAATACTAGCACCGCTCGATCAGCCTCTCCAGATTGGCGTGGTTCAATTACGAGTCTCTTTGCGTGGCAGCAGCCGGCACCTCCTGCCTCGCCGTCGCCGGCACCTCCTGCCTCGCCGTCGCCGTCGTTGTCAAAGAAGCGCATGAGCGTGAGCGATCCAGTCTTTGTCGAGCAACGGACTGGCGGAAGCATCATGTCGGTAACGCAATCGAGTATTCTAGAAGATGAGATATTAGAGATCGATCAAGCCGAGTTCGAACGTTGCCTCGTAAGAAAGCCTGTACTTATCTGTCTATGACCACGGTTTCATTTTATCAACAGGACCACATGGGATTGAAAGGAGATGCAAGGGACAAGATGTATATATTACCAGCTGCTAAGAAACGTCAAATTATTGACCAAGCACGGGCTTTCCATTCGACTCTCGACGGAAGGACTCCTCGACCATCTCAGTCTACACAGTCCACATTGGCAGTTTCTGGCGGGGGAGCTTACCTTCCTCGTCTTGTTCCACAGCTAACAGGCGACTCAGGAATACTGAAGCGTTTATCAATGGTGACTTGGAGTACAAGCGCCGCTGTGCCACCGGTTATGACCCCCGCTCTCAATCGATCTAGTGGCGAATTTGACAAAGTCGCGGAGACGACGCAACCCCTGCCAGCACAGACTACTGGCAGTATGTTTGGTAACTGGTGGGCGTCTTCAGGTGGAGAGAAGAATGCCGAAGCAGAGAGTACGATATCTGCAAAGCGATATGTTGACGGCTTGCGCAGCATGAAGACGGATGCTAGGGTTGTCAAGCATCTGATTTCCCTCCGAGTACATCTGTCTACTGCAAAGTTACCGTGGATCGAGGAATTTATCACGGAAGATGGCATGAACGCAATAGGTAGCGCGCTTGCGGCACTCGTTGGTAAGGGCGGGAAGAGGACAGTTCTTGCGGACATAGAAAGCACAGTACTGCTAGAGATCATCAAATGCCTCAGGGTACTCCTCAACACTCAGGTAAACGTGATCTTCGTTTGACTAGGCCTCATGATGGACCTGATCCGTTCGTAGGCTGGATTTGACAGCGTTTTGTCGTCTCCCACAATCATTACTCATATAGCGTATTCTTTCTACGGTGCCTCTCTGAAGACACGCATGCTTGCTGCCGAACTTCTCGCCGCAATATGCGTACTCTCGCCCAATCAGGGTCACAAGGCCGTCATAGCTGCATCATCAGAATATCGCATCGCCTATGATGAACAGTACCGCTTCGAGTTTCTGGTTGCTGCTTTGGGTATATCAGACCAGAGTAACGACACTGCAGCCAACAATACATCCTCACATGATGAAGATGGTATATGGGAGGCACGAACTGCTTTCATGGCCCTCGTAAATGCCCTCACTAACTGTCCTGAATCCCTGGAAGACCGCATCTTATTGCGCGAAGAGTTCGGACGGCGTGGCTTAAATGAAGTCATAGTGGTAAGAAATGATCTGGCTCATCATCATGCCACTTTGTACGATAACTAGAGCCATCTTCTAGACTCTCCGCTATACAAAACCGCCAGACTCTCTACTGACCCAACTGGATCTTTATACGGAGGAGAAGTACGAGGATGAAGAGGATCTACGAGAGCGAACACGAAACGCCGTGCGAGGCGGTCAGGGGTACGGAAGGGAACGCTCTGAATCAGACATTTTCCTGGATGATCTTCTACAAAGCGCGAACAACGTGGGGCTCGGGTCTATATCAATGAGTATTTTGCACCACTTATCTTCTATCATGAAGAGTGATGCTGAATTGTAAGTCCTCTTCCAGAAGGTTGATGACATGATTTGACAGAGTAACAGGAACGTCAAAGTTGATCAACTAGCTATAGTGGATACATTTTTGGATCAGATTTTTACTGCAGATGATATGTAAGCGTTGGTTCGTGGTGTGTCTTGAAGCGCACTTACCCTCCACGTAGTGACTTGGGCTGGATCCCTCTGATTACGAGGTTTCTGGATGCAATCCGGCCCATTATTGGCCAGGATATAATTATAGATGCCGTCGATAGTGGGACGAAGCGCGAGCTGGAAAACCTTCGTGTCCAAATAGATGATCTGATCCAGACGGTGCGTGCATCCAAGCTCGTTTTTGTTAATAATCTCATATATACAACAAAGAACTCGGCACTCAAGACAAGGCTTGAACAACGCACAGGATCAAATCAGCAGAAGCCGAATACTTCTAGCAAAGGGGGAAATGAGGTGCGAATACTGTTATATCAGTGGTAATGGTCAAACCGATTCTGCGACAGAACAAACTTGTTCAACGGCTGATGCAGAAGGAGAAGGAAGCTACCCAACTACAGGCGGAACTTGAGCGCTTGAACTCTCAAATTTCGAATAACGCGCGCGATGTTGTGGGTTATATTAATTCACTTCGCTGAACAACTGTTTATCCATTTGATTTAGGAGGACCAAGCAAGGAAAGAGCGCGAAAGGGCAAGGCTTCACTCGCTCCATGAAGAAATGAATAAATTGCAGCTTCAGGCATGTTACTCATCCATAACCTATGTGGCGCAGCTGATTATGAATCAGCTGAGTAAAATGAGTGATGCTCTTTCCACCAAAGACAAGGAGGTTGTGTACCTCAAACGAGCTCTTGAATCAGTCTACTCACGTTTTCAAACGAGGCAAGAGGAAAGAGCTTCCGACATGGACGCCCAACTCATTGCGACCCGCACCATTGAGAATCTTGCCAAGCGAGACAACGAACTAATAGCACTGAAGACAGAGGTTTCAAATCTCAGGCAGCTATTGGCTGCGACCTCGACATCTATGTCAGAAATCGAGTTCAAGTCAAGGAATGCGCCCCCTCCACCTCCGCCACAAGGTTTCAAATCTAGAGCGATTTTTGTGCGAACGCCCGAAGAAATAGATGTAAGCACAACATTGAACGCGACCGGCGTTCCTCCACCCCCTCCACCTCCACCACCTCTTTCTCCGTGGGCTGTTCCAAATCGGAAAGAGCCCCTCACCATTGAGTCGAAGGACATCAGTCAGATGACCTTTCATTCTCCCCCTCCTCCCCCTCCCCCTCCTCCTCCTCCGCCACCACCACTCCTATCATTCCCTTCTTCAGGTTCCGCAATTTCGTCACCTCCACCTCCACCACCTCCACCCCCGCTGCCTCCTCCGCTCAACGCTTCATCATTCCAGTTTCCACCAAGACCCCCAGGAGTTCCACCTCCGCCCCCACCGAGTGGATCTGCAATCAGGATAGGAAATAAAGCAAAACCCACTGGGCCAAGACTGAAGCCCTTCTTCTGGACCAAAATCAATGATCAGAATTGCAGCGCCACAGTATGGGAGGAACCGTCAAACTCACTGGATTTCAAGCTAGATGATCTTGAAGCAACGTTCACAATTGATAATACACCAACCTCGCATTCCAAAGCCGCAAATCCCACTCGAAAACAAAGTGTTACAACTCTTCTTGATATTACTCGCGCTAATAACATCGGTTGGTTTATATTACAACCGTCATAAGGCAACTGACAACTTGCGTTCGCTAGCTATCATGCTTTCGCGGTTTAAAATGACCTCTTTTGAAATCAGCCAAGCTCTGCTGAGACTCAATGACAAACTGTCTATCGATGACTTGAAAGCCATCAGCAAGCAGCTACCATCTCCGGAAGAGGTCCGTCATCACTGACTGCCTTTTCGCTCTACCGTGACTCTTAAATGTCTTTGAAAAGGTTGCTCGTATGAAAGATTTTCAAGATGTGAGCAAGCTAGCGAAGGCCGATCAATATTTAAGTGCCGTGAGTGCTGCTTATGACTCCATGACTTGCAACTCAAGTCAGCGTCTTAGATTATGACGATTCCAAGACTCCCGCAGCGGCTGGAGTGCATGATATATCGCCAAAAGCTGGAACTCGAGATCGAGGAAATCCGTCCGGATCTAAAAACCGTTCATGATGCGTGTAAAGAATTACGAGCATCTGTGCGTTTCAAGCTGACATTACGGGTGCGTTCGTTGCCGAATCCACCACTCAGTCGTGATGACAAGGATTCTAGGCAATACTCGCAGTTGGGAACGCATTGAATGGGTCTAGCTTTCGTGGAGGTGCCTGTGGGTTTCGCCTGGAGGCGCTCGTAAAGGTAAGTCGGCGACACGCTTTCTTGACGATGTTGTCGATGTGCATTACGTCGCAGATGAAGGAAACGAGGACTGCGAAAGGCACCTCGGAATGCCCTACTCTCTTGCATTATGTTGCACGAGTCCTCATTCGCACTGATCCGTCGCTTACACTTTTTATCGATGAGATGCCTAGTGTGGAATCTGCTGCTCGCAGTAAGTGATGATTTCATCCGATATCTTTGGGGATAATCTTATGCTGTGCCTTAGTCTCCTTCCCCACGTTACAACAGAACGTCCAATCTTTACTTACGTCGCTCGACAAGGTTAAAGAAGAAATAAGTCTGCTAAAGCAGATTCGCACACCCTCCGATAATGACCAATTCGTGACAATCATGCAGGTGAATACTACTCAATTCTAAAGGAGCTCGCGTGCTGATGCCTGATAAACACTAGCCATTTACGCTTGAAGTAGCACAACGCGTCGACGCGCTCAATAACATGGCTGTGCTCGTCGAAACAGACCTACGAGCTCTGTTCTCTTACTATGGCGAAGACCTGAATTCACCAGAAGGACCGAAGCCAGATGACTTCTTTGGGATGATCTGTTCATTTTCATCATCATTACAGGTACGCGTCGTTTATAGATCCGGTGGAGTTATGATTCAATTTACCGGCCAGAAAGCCGCTTTGGAAATTCACGATAGACAGAAGAAGGTCCCCGCCTTGGCTCAGGGGAAGGTGTCGCAAAGTAGCTCCGAAGAGGTAAGAGGACCTACGTTGTACAGCTCTGCATTTCCACGGATTATTGACATGCAGATCGTCAAGGCACGACATGATCCCTCACACGACTTACCCATACCCTCTACCGAGCATTCGGCATCTATTGGACGCGGTAACCTGGAAGAAGCGATGCGCAGTTTGAGAGAAGGTCGTAAGAGATGTAGACCTCCTCGTTCCATCACGGGTGCGAACAAGATATTTCTTGATGGACGACCCGAGCTCTCGTAATAGTTGGCTTGGCGCTTTAATTCAATTTACGCGCCACTGGGATTGGATTGATGATGATATGTACAGGGAATATATCATTTAATTGAGCTACTTCTACCCATATATACTAGATACACGAGGTGTAGAATGATTAATTCACAAATAAGGATCTTGATCGATGTGATGGTTCGCTGTCAACCGCTCTGGCTTCCTTCATCAGCAGCCGTGGGATGGAGTGCTGAGATCAAGCTGCATTTTTCACAGCGTCTGACGAGTTCAACAACATGCTCTTTGATCTGCCCACCCAAGAGATGCGACGTGGGTGGTGCACGATATTGATACATCGAGGCAAGACTCAATTGTCCCGTCCCTGAGGCCGCTCAGTAGCGAGGTGATCAGTGTCGATTGTTAATCAATATGAGGCGTACGTATCATGCCTGCATGGCAGTACGACTTATTCATAGCCCGCAATGAGTTGACTACAGTCAAACAATGATGATTGCTGTGATCAAAATAATGATGAGATGGGGAAAAGACAGTAATTCAAGCAACGGACGCGGCCCATATTCAATCTTTGCCACTGATGCCTGCCGAGGTCACGGATATGGTAGTCCGAGTAGCAGAAAAGAATCACTACATCACCTGGACTTCCATCTTCCGAGAAGTATCAGCCTTCATAATGAGGTTTCTGTGTTGAGTCTTGGCAAAATGTGAAATACCACATGGTCTGTAACATGAGTGCCTGCAGAGTTTCGACAACTTGAAAGGACTCCAATATGTGGCCAGTGTCCGTGTACCAGAATCAAAGTCGGATATCTTGGAGGTTGCCGACACTACGGCATCAAGGTAAGGTTGTGTCAGATCAGGCTGTGACGCGGTCGACAATCACTGAAGCACTGACATGAGTGATATGTTACGGTCGATGATGGCATGATGAACCAAAGCTATTGCCAGCACAACCGGATTTCATCAATGAGCGTCGAACTAGCTCGGTTCTGGAGCCGGTCTTTTTAGCCCTGGCATGGACCCCAAGGACGTTTGACTGGCGGCTACGTAACTCGATTACTCTTTTTCCTCTCGTTGTCAAACCATGTCCCTGTCCCTGTCGGACCTCCCGTCGTTCGCGGCTCTGACATCCAAGCAACCCTCCGCAACATCCTGCAGTGACGATGTGACGTTGCCATCGACGCAACTAGTACCTGCGCCCTAGGACAACCTCTGCCACCTCATACTACACGCCAAGTTCCAACACAAGACCTTCCCCACCCTTGCTCCTTGCTCCACATATCCAATCGGGACCTTCCTCGTGCTCCCGCTAACCTGGTGCGGCCTGTTACAGTCTTCCACTTCTCACTTTGACCTCTTGTACTTCCACGCTCCGAGGGCAACGTCGTGAACCCTCTCTCTATCCTGGCACGCCAACACGGAGTCACGGACCCATGAACCTGGTGTTGTACACCCGACCATGACTTTCTCGTGCTACCACTAACCTCAGGCTGGCGCTGCCGCCTGCGATATCCCTGGTTGGCATCTTGGTTCTGCGTTCTTCATCTCTTCCCTTTACACTACCCATACCTATATACGTTTGATCTATTTTATCGCATATGATATGGTTAAACGTTTTTTTTTTTTGAATATAATGACATTGTTAACTCGAGCAACGACTGGAATCGAGTGTTAAACGTCGAGCGCTGTTGGTTCCTGAGGCCTAAGCACCGCCCTCAAGCACACGGATTCTTCACCGAGGGTTAGACTGAAACTTATAGTTAGACAGATACGTATATTTCATCACTCATGTATGGCAATTCACAAAAAACAATACATGATATGAAAGACGGCGGGAGGAAACATCACAGGCGGTAAGAGAAAGGTGGGGAGGGGGCCATAGATGTCTGTCGAGATGATGCATGATAGATGTCGGTGGAGCTTCCTCGCTGCCGGACGGTCCGACAGATTGATAACAAAAGGAAGAATGTTGTAGTAGAGTGTCCTGGGGTCTTGAACTCTGTTAACGCCATGAGGCAGTGTTCGAACTTTTTTGCAGGAAAGAAGCGAGCTAGCTCAGACTCAGGGTGCTGCTACGAATTCTATATGAAGGAGAGCGGCTGCGCGCGAGGACGTCTTCACAAATCATCATGCCCCCAGTTACGATAAACACTGATCATTTCAGCCTCGATGTCGGTGGCTTCGCAGGGTTTTTTGGAGGTGATGAGGCGGTCTCCGCGATGGAGACCGTGCATCTCTATAGAGCAAGGCGGTGGACAGGCTGGTTCAATTCCCCGGGCAGCTACAGTGTCGGGAGGCACTATGGCCGACTTGCCAATTCTCGTTTTTGGGACGGAATGTTTCCAGGAGCCCATATAGAGCCCACCACGTACATAGGGCTGGATGGAAAGTCCGGTCCTATGTATGTCGCATCCCAGTCCGGCACATTCCTAAAACAAACGGGTCACCTCGCATATCTGTTGATGCAGAAATGCAAAGACCAACGAGCCGTGATAGTAGAGGGACGAAAGACGAGGGCAAATAAAGTTACCATCTTGGATATGCCAGATATCAAGTTCGACGCTGGTACCGAAAATAGCTTGGTCATCCATGCCCGAGATGGCTTCCACAAACACGTCGCATTGATCCCTATCGCTACCAGCGTCGCAACATGCATACTTTGTGCGTGGGGCGATGACTGGTATTGCTTCTCTTTGATCCTCCTCGGCATTCTCGTCAACGGCATCTCGTGTTTTGTCATCGGCTCTGCGTCCATAGTCCTCCAGAGTGCCGCCTCTTCTAAAAATGCACCGCCAGGCGATGGCATGCTGATGGACGGAAATCATGTGATCGTCGTCCGTGGAAAAGAGAAGAATGTACTTGCCATCACGCAGGGCAAGTTTCACTTGGAGTACGAGCCCTGGGTCCGTAAGCGAGCTAGGAAGGAGAGGAGGAAACGCGGGATTATAGGGGATGGGATCCGTGACTTCCACCATATGTTTGGGAGAAAAGATGCAGAGAGTGGCCCCGGGCCAGAGACACTGGATCATGATGAAGACGCCGAAACCAACGACGAATACGCAGCGATCGGGTTCTGCTCGCTCCTCCTGGTCATTCAATTTCTGACGCAGTTGCTCCTGATACCACAAGGCAAACTGTTTGGGCAGGTCATGTTCCTAACGTCCTTCGCTGTGTCATGGGCGTACAATCTCTTCTTGTCGTCCATGGACGGGGAATACCTGCAGGAGGAACAGCTCGTCCAAGCGTTGACTCTGTCGGAGGATCGCATGAAGACGTACAAACTGGGCACAAGAACGGCCGCAGCTGTTTTCGCTTGCCTAACCCTTCAGCCCGACTGCGAGCACAAAGATTGGGGGAACAGAGGGTTTAAACCACAAGAGATCCTTCGACAGTTCATCCCGAACGACACGCACGTATGGACGGTCTGGAGAGAACAGGTTTTGGAGCAGATGAGAAGCAGCAAGCAGGGCGGCTTGCAATCACTTGACCTCGAGGCTTGCGGTAACCGCATAGCTGCGTTCAACGATGTCGATAAGAGCTTGTTGGGCGACTTGCTCTCGGATGCTCGCACTGCATACCAACAATATTTGGTATTGCAGGTTCGGAGTCGCAGCTTGATTGGCAGCGTGTCGAGTAGTGTAAAAACGGAGGCATGATGGAAAGCTTGTCTTACGAGTTATGTCGGTCCGCCGCCGCCGCGTGTACAAGCGGTGCCTCTGTTCTGTTTGTTCCCATGCGTCGTGACAGTCGTGGTTAACGTTGATACGTTGTCTTACTTGACAAGGTTCTGGGACCCCCTAATGCCTCGCCTTCCCCCTAGTGACCCGAGATTACCAATCAGGAGCCTGGCATGGAGATTGACACTGAATTGACACTGGACGTTTCTCAATCTAGCATACACTGTACAGTAGAGTCCAAGTAATTTGATACAGTACCATAGTTTCATGAGAGTTCGTGATCGTAGCTGTAAAATATAGACAACACAGTCATAGGGGTATTAGCGAGCAGGGACACAGTAGTGAAGTTTTAGTGCACGATAACATTTTCGGGAGCCCTGAAATTAATGGACCCAGAGGATGCGTGAGCAATGACGCGGATGGTGGTTCCAACCCTCCGCCAAGGCTGCTTGTCACCAGGCGAACAAAGCAGCTGAGCAACAAACGGCTCTTGCAGCCGCCGAATAAATGCAGCAGCAGTGCTGTTGGTGACCATGTCGGCCACAAAGTCGGCGACGAGATCCTTGGATCTGCCGACCCAACTTTCCTTATCCTTGTCCTTATCTTTTTCCTTATCTTTTCCCTTATCTTTGTCCTTCTCTTTCCCCTTCTCTTTCCCCTTCTCCTTTTCCTTTTCCTGCTTCGGGGAGTCCTCTGTCGTAAGTGGCTCCGGAGACTCAGGGTTATCAACAATCGAGGCATCAGCAGCCTCGATGCTCATGCTTCCAGGACGTTGAATAAGACTCGCGTCCCACATTCGTACGACACGGTATTTGTGACTTGGGTTCTTGCCGTATAAAGGAACTAGCCGCTGTGTGACGATGATCTCGAGCTCCGAGAGTCCCTCAGCTTTGACGAGATAGCTGAGCATTCCGGGTTTGTCTTGGTTTGGAATGAGGGTGACCACTTCGTGAACGAAAAAGGGCATGCTCATTCTCCCATTCGCAATGAAACGTCCATGAGGCGGGTTGCTCAAAACGTCCTTGACAATTTTGAGAGCCGAAGAAGACAAGCCACTGGTGATGCGCTTCGAAGTTTTGAGTAGCCTGAATTCGAATTTCGATGAAGTGGAGTCCTGTCGAGCGTCGTAAGATGGAGTCATGAAACACCTCGGATGCGCAGCAAAGTAACTGTGAAGGGTCGATGACTCTCCCAACCAGTCAAAGAGTGAGAGGTCGTCGGTAAGCGCCATGATCTCCTTCTGAAGCCGCACAAAGGCGTTATGTTTCTCCCCGTACATGACAGGCATGTGGATGCCGAAAATACCTAGCAAGGGCGTTAGAACAATTCATTAGCTATGGCGACGCTTACCCATGAGGCAATAGGCAATGTCTTCGATCTTTTTAGTCGTCCTGCTGCCCACCCAACTCAACCGCTTCTTGACATTGTCGACGCCAGGTACGAATGTCTTCAAAACATCGACATCGATGTGAGTAATGTCGTGGAGAATGGATAGAAGTTCAACTTTGTGATTCTTATCGGAATCGATGAGCGGCTGCCAATCCTGCTTGTAGAATCGAATAGACTGAGGTGCA